GCTAACAGTACAAGCATCAGTGGTTCAGTGGTAGAATGCTCGCCTGCCACGCGGGCGGCCCGGGTTCGATTCCCGGCTGATGCAGAAATTTTTTTGATAATTTTCAAAGCTTTTTGCCATTCACGCTTGTGGGAGCTGAAAATAAAATATTTCTATTGACTTTGGTGATTATTTTTTTTGCACCCCTGTGGATATTTTTCGCAGAAAAATGTTACCAATTTGATGATAATAGGTTGATATTATTACCTTTTGCAGAATTCGTTTTCGTACATAATATACATTTTGCTATAATGCCGTGTACCCGATTGGATGGATTTAAATCACTACGCAAGTGAATCGTAGGTAAATTATTTATGGGGTTCTTGTAGTTTAGAGGCTACTGACACGGTCAATATGAGTATATTATGACGATAAAAAATCTATTAATAAATTGATTAGTTGGCTATATTAGTTACTGCAATACATTATGAGCTTAAGGGTGGATATTGGATAACGTATGTAAGAGGAATTGGACGGAGGCCCCCATAAAGATGTTGTTTCTAAGATTTATTCTCGTTGTACACATTAGGTACTTAATTTATAAAAAAGGTGAAATAATTTATGGTCTGTATAACAGGTAGGACGTGGATATTAGGTATAACAATAATTAATATTTCATATGTTTATGAATTTATGATGGTTTGTGACGCTCAATAAACCTATAAACGCGTATTTGATTTTTATTTATACGAAAGTCCGGATTTAGCTATGTGAAAGGTCTCTGGAATTTGGACTCTGGACACATATTTTTCGATAAAGGCTCATTTATTATGCATTTACATACATTTTTTTTCTAAAAATAGATTATCAAATGCTTTTCATCGTGATTCATTTTTGTGGTTTTTTTTGTTTGGCGAGGTTGTAAATTGCTAAATTAAAATCCATAATATTCAATGTTAAAAAAAGGATATACTTTGTATTTATATTATAAAATGAAATTGTCAACATTTTTTTAACCACAATGGAAATATGCATTACTTTGGTTTGTACTTACTACTTTGTACTATTCTATTATAAACAACAAAATAATGTTACCAAAAATAAATAGTGTTAGCATTTAATATTGATTAAATATACATTAGTGTTACCTATATGTAATTTAGAAGTCTAAAAAGTAGAACAATTATTTAAAAATTAAATGAACAATTTTTTGAAGTTAAGTGTTTCGACTTGTATGTCAAAGTAAAAAATCACTCCTGAGGCCATGACTACTACCTTCCCAAATAATCAAACTCAATTTATATAACAGTTTATTATAATATATGCATACTAGTGCCCACCCATTTTTTCAATCCTAACCCTATATTATATGGTCCATCTCTCTTCTTGCTGAGGATTTTAACCCATCGACATTAATAATTTGTAAAAATTGTCCAGATATTGGATCCAATATTAGGTACATCTACTATATATTTTTGTAATACTATATTTAAGGACTATACTATCCTTAATATAACGATTTTAATGACGGTGAAACTATTCATTCGAATTTTGAATTAAGTACATCAACATTTTCAAACAATTTATTCGCCGCATAATTTTCAGCAACATAATGTGTTTCTCATTTGAAAACCAGAAGATTGTGTCACCACAGGTCGCTCATTGAGGACGCCACACTCGCATGTGCTGTCTCCGTCTCACAAACGTGTAAAATACATCAGTTGGCGTTCTATGCCGTTAGCTTAAAAATGAGAGTGAATCGACTTATTATGAAACTTGATGGTAAGAACATCTGTGTTTTCGTGGAAGTTTTTTTACACGGAGACAACACATGTGGGTGTGGGGCGTCCTCTTAGTAGTACAAACAAATTCATAAATTTGAAAAAATTGTCTGAATTTATTTAAAAATTTCAAAAATTAGTACTTGAATACATTTTATTATTAAGGAAAAATATGGGCGAGTCGCCCGCTCTTATAATAGATATTAGTGTCGTTAAACAAGTCAGTTGTGAGAAAATGCAAAAAATATATTCCGGTACCGGGAATCGAACCCGAGCCTCCTGGGTGAAAGCCAGGTATCCTAGCCACTAGACCATACCGGATCGGTGTAGAAAATAGGTAAAATTATATTATTTAATCCACTGAGATAATTTATATTAACATTTTTATAACATATTTCGTTCAATTTTTTTTATTAATTCTAAAATAGAGTTTTTTTTATAACAACAAAAGGGAGGAATACGAGGTGACGTGTCAAAAAGTTAAAATGTAACACAATTTTGCAGATACATGAACGGCAATTTCAATATTTTTGTTGTAGAAGCTAATAAATTATGATTCCTAGTCAGTGTTCCTGCACTCCCACAAATGTGATAGCCGATAGGTAATGAACAGTTTAATTAATATTTCAAAAATATTAAGACTGGACGTCAGTACACTGCCCCTGCCCCCTGCCATATTTTGTTTTCTCTCACTGACCTGATACGCACGACATAAATACATATACCAAATTTGAGTTCAGCAGAACCAACCTATTGTGTCATTTAAATCGGTAGGTTAGGTAAACATTGCTAAGTTGTAACATTTTACAGGTACCTTGTACTTATACTTACTCAGTTACAACTCATAAAGTCATAAATTGTTTAAAAATTAAAATAGGTATCATTCATTCAAATAATCCAACGCACTTATAAGAACACGGATAATCTTCTCAAATCAAAGTTCGATATAATAGGTCGATTTCGGTTTTTTTTTTTTAGCTTCTATTTATAATTATATCTCAATACATTGAAATAACAGGTCAGTTATCTTCGATACTAAAGCTAAAACAGCACAAGGTTGATTCTGCTGAACACAAATTTGGTATGGTTGCGCGTGTTCTGTGTAGAGAAAACGAATAATTAATGTCGAATAATTCGCTGTTGACGCCTGAAATCCTCTTATTGCTCAACACGTTTTGTACAATTTATAACTGCAATACAACCCAAACTCCAAAGTATCTACTTATTCTGGTATTCTATCTATTCCTTAAAAGTTAAAAGTATTGAAGGACGGTATAATAATTTGTCATTAGTTTATCATAAACTTATCGGTATAAGTAGGTATCTATACTACCTACACGGCTACATTTCAATTCGGATTATAATTTTAAATGTCGCGTGCAGGGGTAATAAATAATAATAACAAATATAATAGGTATTATATCTAAATAGTAAAGGTGTAAATCATTTTACCTATAGGCTGAATTATTTTGACACATATTATAATATGTAGGCACGACGTGATTGTAACGTACCTGCATAATAATAATTTAATATCATAAATTATAATATAAATCTATACAGACAGATATAAAAGGTTAGTTGTAGATATAGGTACCAACTGTTGTAAGTAGTAAGTACGATCATTGATTATAAATACTAGTATTATAGTACGATGTACCTGAAGTAACACCATTTTACCTATTATTTATGAACCCGTAACACTGTCATAGTAGGTGTCTTTAGCTGTTAATATATAATATATTATCACAGAATAATAGTATAACATATTAACTGCAATTTAATATTATGGGGTTCAAATAGGTGTAACTAGTACAATACAAATTGTATTTTGATTGTAAAAAAAAAAAACGTAAATACCCGCAGGGGATAAGCTGGGGAATTAACCCCCCCCCTGGCTTTCCGGAAATTTATTTTAAATTTAGCATACCATAGCAAATTATTACTATATAACAAATTGAAAGTACGTTAATAAAAAAAGGTCACCATTATAAAAAAATCATATTATGCCAAGTTAGCAAAATATATTATATTTTATATTTCGATGTACCTATTATATTGTTCATAAGCAAACTAACTACACTCCTCAGACAAATTTCTCGGTACACCTATATAAATATTCTTGGTATACCGGAAAAAGGGTCTAACTCTTTCTTGTTTTACCTATACGGGACAACTGTCCTAGGGTTAGGTATGATTTTGTTAGAAATACTCCTTCTTTAGTAGTAATAAGTAATAACATTGGATCAATGTTCACAACATTTGTTTTTGTTAAATTTTATTTTTAATTTCAATATAATAAATTATGAAAGCGGTTTCTGCTGTTACGATGCCAGTTTTTTTTCCACATAATTGTATACTTAAGTTCAAGTCTTATTTTATAATTTTTCCAATGAATATAAAGCCATAGGTATCCGAATATTTTTAATTATTATCAGATTTTTGGGATTAAAAATAATAATCCCCTTGGTTATAGTATCTCGTTACTACTACAACAGTTGTCAAAATAGGAACTATTTAAAATGTCTGTTGATACATTTTATTTTTAATGCATTTGATTGTGGGCCACCGCATTTCTCTCTACAATTGTTTTTTATACATTATAATCAAGTTAATTATTGTTTTTACTTTTATACTTTTTATCTAGTAATTTTTTTTCGTCATTTTAATAACACGACATCTCACAATTCGCACAGAATCAGTAAAACTAACGCCTGACAAACTGCCGAATAGGCAATACAACGACGCCTCAATGGTTTATTCGAGGAGAATAGGTACATTTCTCTACTGTGTCTTTTCTATGAATAATATAATTACCATTTATCATTAATAAGTAAAACATATTCTAAAATTTGAAATGCACATCGATGCATTGATTCTCAAAATGTCAGTTTTGAAACTGTGGAGTGGATTAAATGTATCGATAATCATTGCATAATTGGATAAAAAAAAATGTATTGGACATTACAACCCACATGGCTACATCCTACATGGCCTGCATTAGTATGATTTTGATGGGTTTTGGTATAACATTTATTTATAGTAGGTACCTCAGTACCTGCTTAGTACCTATTTAAGGGATTTTTAAACTTCCGACCAGTGCCGCAACTCGAGATGAAAAGGCCTAGGTGCCACTTTAATTTTGGGACCCCCTATTTCAAACCTTAAGTCTGAAAAGGGCCCCTTAAGTACAATAATAGGGCTCTTTGTAGGGTGTGGTGCAACCTCAGCACTTTCGCTAATTACGGTGCTGCTTCCAACATAAAAATGCAACTCGAGACTTTTAAACGTTTCCTATTTAGATTCGTAGGTACTCAATGTTGATTTTACATCTCACTACTTGTTAGTTCTGTTGAAATAAAAATATGACAAATACACAAATATCGTTCATATCGTTAAACATAAAATATAAATTAGTCTTTGTCCGCATAAAACGTATAAATATATAAACATATAAATGGTACATTTTTACACCTCACATAGTCATCATAGTTACGTCTCAGATAACTTTATAGGTTTAACATGTTCCATTCGTTCGGTATTTTTATAGTCGTCTATATGTCTATTCTCATTTTATTGACGTCGTACCTATGCATCATTGAATACAATAATACATAATTTAATTTTTAGGTGGACACCGAAACGGACTTTCATCACTGGACAACAACCATTGCGGGACAACTCCTGAGCCAAACACCATTGGATGACGTCAAGTATCTCGACATACTCGGCATTGTCACTGACCATGCACCGTTTCGACGATACTCGTCAACAGATTCATTAGTGACATCTGCATCCAAACACAAAAAAACCAGCTTGGATATGCAAGAAGTCAACAACAACCATATGCCTTTATTTAGTTCACGTATGTACAAGAAGAATGTTTCACACTTGCCAGACTTGATTCGAGAGTGCGAACAATTGCGAAGATCACCCGTCAACGAATTCTCAGATCTAATACCAGTTAAACAGAAACGCAAGATATTCGAAGAATCACTCACTTGCTCTTCAAAAAGTGTGGACAATTTGCATGATCTTTCATCTCATATAACAAACATTAAGTCTAGGTCAATGAACAATTTGGATTTGAGGGCTGTGCCAGTGAAAGACATTTGCAGATATTTCGAAAGCAGATTCAATACTAACGAAGCCAATACCATACAATTCAGATCACTGTATTAACAGAAATGAATTATGGGTGTTAGAATGTATATAAGACATTGCGTGAAGACCTTTAAATGAAGAAAAATGTTCCAAAGATTTATGAAACTATTATGATAATATATTACTTAATGTATACTCTTAGTCATTAATAAATAATTTTGTTTTTAAATAAATAAAAAACAATTAAAAATTTTGTAATTTATACAAATGTTGAGCTAAAAATAATAATAAACATAAATATTTGTGTTTTTAACAATATCAAAAACAAATTACAATTTAAATTTCATCTTAAAAATGGAAGAAATTGTATACATGGGTAAAAAATCAAATTGGAGAGCTCTAATAACCAAAAAATAAATTACTCCTACATTAAAGACTTATTTTTTTATTTAATGACTATAAAATTTAAGTTGTTCGGCACATAAACTGATTACTAACAATTAAAAGACATAAACTTCACCGATAATGTAATATAGATACATAATATTAATTTGTCAAAACTACAACTTCAGTACTGAAACTATAATATTAAATGATAAATAGGTAATTTTAATCACGAGCAGCAGAAACACATAAATACCTTCTACGGGTATTTACAAGACAATAATAATATTAATAATAATAATAATAATAATAATAATAAATGTATTTTGCACAATTTTGAAATCCATTTGTAAGCACCGATGGTAGTACAGGTGCTTATCAACTAAAGGATAAGGTATCTGTTGGTTAATGTTGAACTTCATTGATCATACCCTGCTAGTCTAAAAAGTGAAAACAAAAATTAGTTTCATCAATATCAAAAAATGTGAGAAATATAAACATAATTTTGATTATTTACCCGTAACTAATAAAGTGTCTTTCGACGTTGAATTCAGTGAATCCTCATACTTGCAATGTGCCAGATCAGACAATTCCTCAAAATGCTTTTGTCGTTTTCTCACATTCCAATGTAGACATTCAGCCAATGAATCAAACCAGTCGGATATTTGGTCTTGAGCACATATTGATGGTAACGAAAATATAGATGTAGTTACTCGTAAGCTGTAAATAAAATATTTGATTAACTATTTAATTACATACTATAGCAAGTACTTAAAGCACATAAATGAAAAGCAAATATTCATGCAAACTGATACACATGGTTATCATTTAAATACGTCTTGAAATTATTAACATACATAACTGTAAAAGATTGAACGGTTAAAACGTGCAATATAAATAAATGAATATAATATTGTGTTTAATAACTCGACAATTGTATGAGACATACTTTTAAGTACGTAAATGAGTAATTACTGAAGTCTGATTACAATGTACACTCTGATACTTCTCCGTCATTGATTAGATAATTTACAAATTGAAAATCAAATTTTACAGTGCACATACTATCCATCACCAAATATTATTCTACATTTTTTATTGACCGACCTATCATCTGCACACAACTCCTGTTGATTTCGGCCATCGAACGAAACCCACGCTGTTGATCTTGCATCTGGACTCAACATAATCTGCAAAAAGTATCCAAACCTGCTATATCAGTAACAGTACTATAATCTCGAATTAAAATACTTAATACTTAAAGTATAAACAAATAGATTTAAAAAAAACTATTTTTAAGGTAGGTAATAACATTTTGAATCATCATTCACAGATATAAGCCAATTGACTTATATTTCAATAGATATACATTCATTATAAAAAATTGTATTAAAGTTTCTAAAACCAAAATAGCATTAATTTAAAATATTAAAATGCTAATTAGCCATTAAAATGTTTATCAAATATTTGCTTTGTTTTTAGATAACCATGTGCACCTCAGAAGCATTTAAACAAATACAAGCCTTGACAAATAACAACAATGTAAAATTCATTTCAAATTTATAAATACTAAACACTTTATTTTTCTTTCCTATTACAGTATTACCTATCACCATGAGTAATTTCTTGCCGACTACGACCGTCAAATGAAACCCAGGCCGTATTGCGGCTATCTGGTGATACAGTTATCTACACAAAGAAACAAAACATATCCTAACTCTATTGATCTAGTAACCATTATACTAATTCATAACTTATAAAGTATTTATAAAAACTAAAATCAACAAAAATATGTAAAGAATTCCACAACAATGACTTAGAATAAATACAATTTTAATATATTTATCATAAGTAACCGTTAATTTTGAAGGCATTAACCTAAACAACAAATGAAGCACAATTTCAATAATAATTAGCTGACAAGGCTCTACAATTCAGTCAGTAAAGATTCTAATCCAATCCATATGAATTAGATTGAAAGCGTTACCAAATCTTAAATAAAATTAATGTAAAAATTATTATTGTGTCACTATGGCAATGTATTTTGTTCAATAACATTGAATGAATACTAAATATTGTACCCATGTACAGTAAACATAGATATTTTGTGTTTAAGCCTTAAGCTGCACATGATTTAACACAATTTCATATTTGAATACAAAAATCAGTAGGTTAGGTTAGGTATATAGTAATATTATTAATCATATAAAAATATAATTTCAGTTACATAACATATCCTTCAAAACTATTGTTTTCTTAATTTAGACAAAATCATAAAATATAAATTTTTGCATTCTCAATTTTTAAATTGTATTTACACCATACTTTTACAATAAATAGTATATTATTTTCAAGATGTATAATATTGAAAGATAACTATCGTCTATCACAATACTTTTGCAATATATTTTTTTATTACACCTTTATCTATCTCTACTTCAGTTAAAAATTTATTATTGCTAATTAATCATGCTTATATTTTCAACTATTATGAAGTAAATTATAATATTGGTAGAAAATGACACAACACCTACTATAAATTATAATAAAGTCTTGAATTAATATTTATATAGAAACTTTGGCTTTATTGTAAAAATAATCAACATATAAATAATAAAGAGGGTCATGATTACCAACAATTTCTCATTATTTGGATTTTTATAATTTATAATTATCATTGTATAATATTTATTACTGCGTAATTTTGCAGTCTGTAAATTCTAAAAGTTACCAATGAAAAAATATATAAAAATCCTTCTTATTAGTTGATATTTTATACGAAGTTAAATTCAATATCTCAACCTTAAAATTATCAATAACAAATTAGGCGACAGTTCTATCTTATTTTTATTATTTAGACTGTAAAAGTAATTGCAAAACTACAAGTTAAATATTAATATAGAAATTAATATTTGGAATTTAATAGTTTAAATAATTTCCATAATATTCAGTCAAAACTCTTAGATAACTTTGATATTACTAACTGTTGTAAGTTCTTACCATTCAAATAATATTAAATTTCTAGCTTAACAAAAATTATTCAGTGATAAATAAAAATATTCTAATAAAGTTTTTGATAGTTACATGATGTTAACAGTACTTATTACCAACAATATTATAAATTAATAGTACTATTATTAACCATACTAACAAAGTGTACAATTTAATTTAAGCTAAATGTTAGCAGACAAATTTAATGTTTAGGAACAAAATGTAAAACTATGAGGTACTTCATAATGTTGAATTGGAAATCGCTTATTTATTTCTATCACTAAATGTGGAATTCTTTTAAAATAATAATTTACTTTTAATTCAACACCAGCTGGTACTACTATTGGCCTGAAAGACAAAGAATGAGGGCATATGGGTGTCACCATGATGGCTGGAACACTTGGATGAATCATTGACGCACCCGCGGCAACTGCATATGCTGTGCTTCCAGTTGGTGTTGAGACAATCAAACCTAATAACAAAAATAAAGTTTTATTAAATAAACTACCAACATTTGAGTTGAATAATAACTGAAATATCTTAACAGTACTAGAATACAGAGAAGAATATTGTAATGACCAAAATTTTGAAATATTTTACACACCAAAATACACATTGAATATTGAAAATGTATGTCTTGATTTCTTTAGTTTCAAATAATTGAAATTCTATTATACTAGAAAAATTAATTTTAAAGAGTTCTATTGCTGGGAATTGACTGAAATTTGTTTACTAATAGTTTTATTTAAAGATACTCAAAAGTAAAAACTTCCAAACTCAGATACCATGGTTTAATGATTTATGTGAAAAAATGTCTAAAAAATGTTGAATTAATTTACATTTTAAGGTCTTATAATACATTAAAGATTGTTTAAAATATTTTATTGCTCTTACATTATACTACAATAGTAGTTATTGTACCTATACTCTGTTTAACCTAAAGGTGTGTCCAAACGTAGGATAAATTTGTTAAAAAACATATGTTCCCAACAATGTTTTTAATTTCCAGTCATAAACGATAACATACATTTTTGTCTAGGACAAATATATTCTAGGTATGGGTGTAGCTTAAGAAACATACTCGGCGATATTCACTTTTGGTCAGGTGTTGGTCAAACTACACCCGTCTATATCCCCTACTGAGCCAACCATTTGGATGCCCTTTGGCATAAGTTGGTCGCCAAGTACATTCCTTTAGTCAAACCAAAGTATATATCTGAACATTTTAATTTTATTACCTAATTCATTTTTTACCAACAGATAATTCAGTAAGTTATGGTTGTGTAACAAGATTAATTTTGATTAAATTTAATATTTAAATAATATAACTTGCATTTGATGGAATTTAATTATGAAATATAAGAGAACACTGATAAAGTATTTTATTTAATAAAAAAATGTTTCTATTACCATCTCCTTGAACAGATGTTATGTATTTTCCATCTAAAAACAAGTCAATGTTTGAAAGGTATGGTGATGGTCCGCGGTCAATAACCACTTCATTAAGTACTAATAAATTTGGCTGAGGCTTTTCTTTGTCTTCATTCTTCCTAACAATTATGCACCTAAGTCTACTACGCAACGTTAGAGCAGCATGTCCTTCAAGTACATTGGTTACTTGCTGTTGGAAATTGTCAAACTTGAAAGGAGTCAAAAAACCTAGGGAGCCCAAGTGGAACGCCATAACTGGTGGTACAGATTGCTAGAAGAAGAAAAAAGAACATTAATTCAACAAACAATAATGACAAAATAATTATTTGAAATTACCTGAAACAAAAGACTAGCGTAGAGCAGAGTACCGTCTCCACCTAAGCAAATAATGAAGTCTATTTTGTCCGTCAGATCATCTTTGCTATCTTGGAAAGAGTTTAATTTCTCTCGTATTTCCATGAAGCCCGAGTTACTAGAGAGCATTGTGTCTTCCATCACAGAATGTTCCACAAATACTATCATACTTTTTTCCTAGAGTCAAATAGAATATTTTAAAATAAATAATGACCTTCACCTGAGTATAGATATCTGTACCTGTATAAGCCATCTGACGAGTTCTATGAACGGTGGTAAAACAGACATATCTCTAACTTTTTTAATCACCAACACTGACAGAGGATTTTTGGACCACGTCAAACGTTGACTGGCTGGATCTTGAATTGTCCTGGACAGACGAAAAATAAAATAAACACACAACGACGACGACCACTGGTACCCCACAATAAGTGTACAACTAACTTACGTGACCAAAGCAGAGGTTTTCATGATACGTCCGCATGGTCCAAACTGTTGAACGGGGCTGGGGGCGTTCAGCGATCGTGTTCTCCTGAAAAAATAAAAAAGTGTCGGTCAGTAAACGGAGCGCTGAGACAACGTTGACGGACAGAACGAACGGATGGACGGACGGACGAATCGTCGGGCCACATATGGAGAGATATTTT